AATAATTAAAATAGCGCAGCTCCGATACCGCTGTTGGGTTTCGTAGCGTCCAACGCTACGCGGAAGAGAAACCCACCTAAGACGCGCTCACTAATTAAAGAAACTAAATATTTAATCACGTAATTAACAACATAAAAGAGAGAAAGGGAAATGACATTCTTACCCTCGACACGTGCTTCGCTCCTATAGAGCTCAGACTTCAAAGCTTTAGCTCCGCAAGCACGAGAGCCTCCGACGGAGTCCACCCTCGAGACCCGACCCGAACAGTCTCTATCCCGGAGGTTAGCCGGGGCTAGACCAAGATAAGACTAGAGTATTACGAACTTAGAGGTTTTCTCACCTGTAGGGAGATGCCTCATTGAGTTCAACTCAAGTGTCCCTTCCCAATCCCAACTGATGGGTATTTATAGGGAAGGGAGCTCTTGAACTTCAATCTCCCATTCATGTGGGAGAGTTGGTAAAATGCATTTTATCCAATTTATTTTTAATTCAAAAATCAAATTGAAATGCAAGTGAATCAACAAATGACAAGTGTCAAGAGGTGAGCAAGGGGTTAGGTGAGGACCACAAGGGGGGACCATTTTCCCCTTGTTCCCTAAGAAAACCCACACTCACATGCCTCTACCATGCATATTTAACCACATGCAAGATCAACCACACACGCATACGTTGGCTCACGTACATGGTGTGGCTGGGCATAGGCGCAATGCGTTGCTGGCTGCCAGCCTCGCTATGCGGTACACGCACACGCTGTGCTGGCATTGCTAGCTTTCGCTAGCTAGTTGGTGCTTGCACTATGTGTTGCACAACTCGCGCAGCCCACAACATGCGCGCATGATGGGCATTGACGCAAGGCTTGGCTGGCTGCCAGCCCTGCTGTGCTTGCGTGCTGGGCCTTGTGCTATGCGGCATTGCTGCTCGCATGGCCTAGCATGCTTGCTAGGTCCTCGCTGCCCATAAGGCACCTGTTGCCACGCCCCTGCTAGCCCAGCTATGCGTGCTGGTGCTAGCTAGCATGCGATTAGGCACAGTAGCCTCGCAAGCATGCTCGACCAGCAAGTCTAGCACGCACATGCAAGCTTGGCTTGCGGCATAGTCATGTATGTGGTTGGTGCCCTATGCTAGCCTAGCCTTCGCATGGCTGGGCCAATGCGAAGCTACAGCTTAGCTTAAACTTGTCATTTGCTTGATTTCTTGTCTCGTCGAATTCTAAACTCGACTCGACTTGCGACGCTCGGTTTCGACGCTCTATGCTCGACATCCGACGTCTTTGTTCGTAATACTCTAACGACTCATCTAATCCTTCGGATTGATTCGTCGCTTCGTATCGGTTACTCGATTGGGTGTGACCCGAAGAGTTCAGTCAAGATTAAGTTGTAATATTAATTACACATTAATATTATTGATCAGAAGCGGCCTCCACCTAGGCATTCTGATCACTTGACCTCACTGAAGAATTAACTTTCTAATAATTTTGAACCCTCTATCAGAATAATACACTTGTTGGAAGGATACCATTCCTTTCACTTCTTTTAGCTAGCAAGTTGACATGAAGGATGGTCCTTGTATAAAATATGCAACTGATCAAACAAATTTAGGACTCTTGCACCCAATTCACCTCCGGCCTGAATACAGGATAATTCAATGTTAACTTAGGAAAAAACATGGTGACCCTGATTTATAAATTTACAGCCATAATGATCATACTATAAACAACCTAAAGTGCATCAAAAATCAATATAAAGTTTTATGCAACTTTTATATCCTCTCACACACCATCGCACAATCAGTCCGGTATGTTTACCAGATATTCCAAAAACACGCAAGCATATAATTATATATACACTTATCTTCATTTTTATCTAGCAAACAATTATAATATGGAAAACTAATAACTTAAATAATAATCATTGTCATTGATATAGTGACCTTTTTCAGTTACATAGGGAACTAATAATATAGTAACTTTTATATTGATATAGGGACCCGCATATTATAGTATTAGGAGACTATCATAACATAAGCAACTAGCTATATTAACAGGTGTTACTAGTTAGTATTGCTAAAATATTAGCTTCCTCCAATATAGGCCCATTTTAGTCACTCATGGTTAACTTTAGTATTGCTAAAAAAATTTGCTTTTCAAACATTATATTAACAGGCGTTACTAGTTAGCTCGAATTCAACCCCTACATATGAATCAAGAATTACACATTTTTCAACACTTTTTTTTAATAAAATGAAAATTAGTACTATCACTAAATAAAAGTTGACAGACAATAATGTAGTATAATCCAATACATAATTAACATCATATAATTCAAAAAATTGAATATTAAGGTATAATAATCCAAAAATCCGACATTCATCATACCTTCTATATCTTGCAAATTAACTCCTGTTGAGCTTCGAAGGCCTCTCTGTTTTTTAAAAGTCGCACCACCTCTAGTTCTCACCATATAAATATAATCTAATCCAAATCGAATGAAAATGAACAAAATTTGAGAAAATATACAACAGCCCATACCTCTCATACCAAAATTAGGCACTAATATACATAGAGCTCATACCACTATCATGCTAGCTTATACAACTGTCATGCTATAACCATATTTCTAAATTTGAGGGTTAATGACCTATAGCCTACCACTAGACACACTGTCTGCAACCATAACACCACTTAACCAATCACATTCTTTCTTATACACAGCATATAACAACCCATTAAAAGGAAAAATCACATATCTACACACCACATCACACATGAGTGAAATCAACATGCTCACAATCACAAGCAGAACTTTCACCCAATCACACACCTATACACCAACGAGCAGCTTAGTGTCCATTCACATACCCACAAACATCACACCACCACCACACAGAGGAGCATAAACTCGTATATTATGGAGAGAGATGTATAACAATTATAAGAACAATAAGATGAAATGGAGCAACAGGCATCAGGATACACACTATTTGCAAGGAAAGTTGCCTAAACAAGTTAGAACTTTATATTTGAATAAAAGATGAGTGACATTGAGTATAAGTGTATATCCATTTATATAACGGAAATAAGAAACTTCTTTTCATTCATTTCACTTTGGTCAAGAACAACAAATTAACAACAACTTTACAAGCCACCTAAGTATAAAATCTGACAACCAACAATTATCTTAGAACTTCGTATATGGCTACCGATCAACTATTCAACTAAAAATAAAATCCAACTTATAACTCATTGCAAAACTACCATAATTATAGGTTGTATATATAAACAATTTCTACGGCAATACAAAAGCAAGGAAATTATATTTCTGACAATTAGACTAAATACATCAATAAAATGCAGAAAAATTAGAAAAATATCATCAAAATAATCGAATAAAACACAAAGTTCAGAAAATTTGATGATGAAATTGAAAATCGAACACAAAGTGATAAACTAAGCCGAAAAACAGAAGCAAAGTACTCAAAAAATTTGACGTCGAAATTACAAAATTAAACAAAAAACAAAAGCAAATTACTCAAAATATTTGATGATGAAATTACAAAATTAAACAAAAAACAAAAGCAAAGTACTCAAAAAATTACATAAATCGGAAACCAAAAACTCGAGAAATTACTTGAAAAACAACGATATGAAGAAATTATGAAAAACGCAAAATAATTTACTCAAAAACCAAAAAAATCAGAAAATTACAAAAATTGTAATTTCGTATACAATTTGCTTTGCTTCATTGAAGCTAATGATCTGTGTTTGGGGTCCAAATAACTTATATTTGGGCCTAGTCCACAAATGAAAATAAATAAAGCCTAACAGGCAAGGTTCAACCCTCATACTCTAAAGCCAAGTCAAGAAAAGCACGGCCCAGTCATATGGCAGCCCATTTGACTATTCAAGCCTAATCCACTCAATTGGGACAAGGTATAAAAGCTCATATTTTTGTATAATTAGATTCATTCACACAAATTGCCTCAAGCAACAAATTATCTTGCATAGCTTTTCTCTCATTATCTTACATCCGTACTGACTTCGGCATCGGAGGGGCCTTCCTCGGCACAACCCCTGAGGCCAGTTCACGTGTGTTTAACTATGCAGGAAATCCTCAATTCGGTCATCACTCGAATTGGGCTTCATCTCCACTCATCCAAAGGACCTGCCGAAGATCCATTGTTTTCTAACTGAAACAATTAGGCGCCATCTGTGGGGATACATACAAAAATTCAGCCAAAAATCTCATACCAATCTTAGCCAACGCAAAAAAAAAAAAGAAAAAAAAAAAAAAACAAAACATGACTAAGAGTGCAAAAAGCTCTAAAAAAGCGAGAAAGATGGGCCTAATAACGGTAAGGACCGGTAGAACACCTTCACCGTCGCCTGAACCATCTGCTTCTAACTCCTCGAGAGGAGAAAATATGCGCGAGGAATCTCCCTCCCAACGGGATTACCAAACTAGGAACTCGCCGAGGGAGAGCGAGGCTCATAAGCGGAGTCCTTCACCAAGCATGCATTCAACTCCTCCCACCGTTCCTTCGACTGAAGAGGTGGTGAGGACAGTGGCAGTCTGCATGGAGTTCATGAAAGTCCTGGGTGGACGCCTCCCATCCGTGCATACCACTTCTCCTCCACCCCCTCCGAAGTCAAAAAATCAGAAGAGAAAACTAAATTCGGAGGGGAAGGGCGGATTCCACTCTCCAAAGGAGAGAAAAGCGGAAGAGCCAAAAGCCTGGGCAAGTCAGGACGAGAACGACGAGGGAACTCTGGTCACTTCGAAAATTCCCAAGTCCGAAACCCAAAGGACAATCCAAGCAGCCACAACGCTTCTCGCCGAAGCGTTTACGAGCGCCTAGGGGAAAGGGAGAAGGACATTCACAGTCGTCTCACTTATCCCGAAGGCTCTCGTCCAAAGCTGTCACGCGGAGGGACACCCCTCACTTCCACCTCTCTAAGAGGGAGAAATGAAGTTCCTTCGGAAAGACAGAAAGGGAAAGCTGTGATGGTTCCTACTAGTTCCCCTTTCCAGAAGTGGATACTGGAGGAACATGCGCCGACAGTCAAAATTCCGGCACGTATTACGTACAATGGTACTTTGGATCCAAAGGACTACATAGCCTCCTACGAGAGGCATATGTACCTTAATCCCAGGTCCGAAGCTACCTGGTGCAAGTACTTCGCTACGACCCTTAAAGGTGTTGCCCAGTCATGGATTACCAAAGGGCTGAAGGAAGGCTCTATAACGGGTTGGAGTGATCTTGCCAACACGTTCAAAAGCAAGTTTTCCACGGCTAACCGCCGAGAGAAAACTAATGCCGAGCTCATGAGCCTGCAGCAAGCGGAAGACGAAAGTCTCCGGGATTATTTGACTCGCTTCAGCAACGAGACGTCCAGAATCACAAGTCTGGATCAGAGCCTAGCCGTATTCGCACTACGGAACGGCTTACAAGCTGGTAAATTTCTGGATTTCATGGTCATGCATCCCCCGCAGACCTTGGAAGAAGCCCTCGACGCTTCGGATAAATTCATCCGAGCCGAGGAATGGAATAAGGCCAAACTGCAATCTCAGTCAGGACTTGCAAAAACAAAAGGGAAACCAGCCGAAGTTACAGGGTTGAGGAAAGGGAAGGCAAAAGCTTCAGAACCTCCCTCGACCACATAGCCGAAGAAGGATAAGGCTCCCTATCAGGGAAAGTTTGAATCTTACACCCCTCTCACCTTACCACGTACTAAGATCTTTAGTGCGACGAGGGAAGAGGGAAGATTCAAGAAACCGAAGCCACCTCCTTCTTGGCATCAGAAGAAGGGGCAGGATCATTGGTGCGAGTTCCACGAGTCACGTGGACACCACACCGAAGATTGCCTTCAGCTGAAGGACCAGATTGAAGAGCTGGTCCAAAAAGGAAATTTAAAGAAATATGTCGCGGAACGCCGCGAAGAAAAGAAAGCTGAGAGAAACTGTCGGCAGGATCTGGACTACCACCGAAAAAGGGACAAACCTCGCGAGGGAGGAAATAATGATATCCTGACCATTTCCAGGGGTATTTCTTGGAATGCACTGAAGCGCCATCTGAGGGGTCTCACCCATCAGATTCATCATGCTGAGTTCCGAAAACCACAGTCTCCGGTGCCGAACATGATGTTCACATCCGATGACTGCAGGGGGGTGGTGTATCCCCATGATGACCCACTGGTTATCATGATAAGCATCGCAAACCACAACGTCTATCGAACACTAGTAGACGGTGGCAGCGGGGCAAATATACTTTTCCGAAAGGCATTTGACCAGCTAAAGTTGGAGAGCAAGCGCTTGACTCCAGTTCCATACCCGGTCACTGGGTTCAACGGCTCTTCTTCATATCCAGATGGGAAAATTCTTCTTCCCGTCAGCCTCGGCCAAGACCGAGCGAGACGAAGCATTATAGCCGAATTCTTGGTCATCGATGCCCCATCAGTTTACAAAGTCATTATGGGGAGACCCCTCATCCATGATGTTTAAGGAGTCGTCTCGACATATCATCAAGCAATGATCTACGTTTCAGATGAGGGACACTCCGAAAAAATCTTGGGCAGCCAAAGAGAGGCCCGAGAATGCAATTTCCTCAAGCCATCCAAGAGTCGCAATAGTGACAAGGATGATGACGAAGAAAAAGAGAAAGGAAAGGAGCGAGGTACCAATAGGCCGAAAGGCTTAAGTGCTTCGGCCCAGGGCTCCCCAAATAAGAGAACATCTTTGGGGACTGGAAAGGCAAGCTCTTCGGCTGGACCAAAATATTCGGACGAAGATCAGCCGAAGAAAGGGAAGTCTGCTGATATTGACAGTGGACCTGAACCAGAAGAGCCTGGCTCTAAAGAAATGGAGTCAGATGAACAAACTAAGTCAAAATATGTCAGCATCGGACAAGGGCTCGATTCGAGCCTCCGGGTTGAATTAATCCAACTCCTTCGGGACAACCGAGATGTGTTCGCATTCTCGGCAGCTGACATGCCGGGAATTGATCCGAACCTTATCTCCCACAAGCTTAATGTCGACCCCACATGTCGACCAATTAAGCAAAAGAAGAACAAAGGCATCGCAGCCGAAGTAAAAAAACTTCTGGATGCAAGGTTCATTGAGCCTTGCCAATACCCTGAATGGCTGGCGAATGTGGTAATGGTTCAGAAAACTAATGACACTTGGAGAATGGGCGTTGACTTCATGGACCTGAATAGGGCCTGCCCGAAGGACTTCTATCCCTTGCCGAGAATCGATCAGCTGGTCGACTCGACAAGTGGCCATGCTCTGCTCAGTTTCATGGACGCATTTTTTGGGTACCATCAGATTTTCATGCACCCCAATGACAGAGCAAAAACGACATTCGTTACAAGCGCCGGGGTGTATAACTATAAAATGATGCCCTTTGGCCTGAAGAATGTAGGGCTACATATCAGAGGCTGGTGGACGAAGTGTTTGCCAAGCAAAAAGGCCGCAACATTGAAGTCTATGTTGAGAATTCCATCGTCAAGAGCAAAGAGGCGAAAGACCATGTTGCAGACCTAGCCGAAACGTTCGCCACTCTGAGAAAACACCAAATGAAGCTGAATCCGAAGAAATGTGTCTTCGGCATGAGGTCTGGGAAATTCCTGGGCTTCATGGTCAGCAAGAGGGGGATTGATGCCAATCCCGCCAAAGTTCAAGCAGCTCTTGATCTTCCCGAGCCGAAGATAAAAAGGGACATTCAGCGTCTCACTAGGAGGATGGCTGCCTTATCCAGGTTCATCTCAAAAGCCTCGGACAAAGGGTTTCCCTTCTTCAAAGCGCTGAAGCTGCCGAAATCTAAGGAGCTCGTATGGGAAGATGAGCAAAGGATAGCCTTCCAGCAGCTCCGAGAGCACCTGGCTAACCTCCCAACACTGGCAAGGCCAGCCGAAGGAGAAGTCTTGTACTTATATGTGGCAGTTAGCCCCGCTAAAGTGAGTGCGGTGCTACTAAGGGAAGAAAAAAAGGTTCAGCAACCGATCTACTTCGTTAGTCATACCTTAACTGATGCCGAAACGCGCTACCCCCTGCTCGAAAAAGTTGCATATGCAGTGGTAGTGGCAGCTCGGAAGTTAAGGCCTTATTTTGACTCACATCAGATAGTGGTCTTAACGGATCAACCGCTGGAAAAAGTCCTCGGCAAGGTTGAAAAGTTAGGCAGGCTAACAAAGTGGGCCTTCGAGCTCACTGAGTTCAGCATAAGCTATCAGCCGAGGGCACCCATTAAGGCCCAAGCCTTAGCAGATTTCCTGGCCGAATGTTCCTATCAGGAAACACTCGACGAAGGGAAGGGGACTTGGACTCTGTTTACGGATGGCTCAGCCACTGTAAATGGTTCGGGAGTTGGGGTAGTAATTACCTCTCCCGAAGGCAAAAACTTCGAGTATGCACTCAAATTTTCGTTCAAGGCTTCTAACAACGAAGCAGAATACGAAGCAGCAATCGCTGGCTTATAACTGTGCATAGCTCTCGAAGCCGAGCATGTCTGTTTGAAGACAGACTCTCAGCTTGTCGCTAATCAGATTCGGGGCAAATATGAGGCCAAAGAGCCCTCCATGATCTCTTATCTCGCCAAGATCAAGTCAGTCATAGCGAAGTTGAGAACTTTTGAAATTGAGCTGATCCCATGGGGTCAGAATGCTCAAGCCGACGCACTATCCAAACTTGCAAGTTCAACTCTTACTGAGCTGAACCGATCCGTATATGTGGAAGTACGCCGAAACAGAAGCATTGACCAAGAAATTGAGGTCCAATGCGTCGAAGCTGAACCGAGCTGGATGGACTCCATCCTGGCTTATAAGCTTTAAGGAACGCTCCCCGAGGACAGGAACCTAGCCGCAAAAATAAAAAGGGTCGGCTCAAGGTTCATTGTCTATAATGGGGAATTGTTGAAAAAGTCCTTCTCAGCCTCGCTGCTGAAATGTGTGGGTCCAACAGATGCGGATTACATCCTTCGGGAGATCCAATTTGGCATCTGTGAAAACCATATACGGGGAAGGACCCTAGCCCATAAAGCATTACGGGCAGGGTATTATTGGCCAACCATGATCCAAGATGCCAAGGACTTAGTGTAGAAATGTGAAAAATGCCAGAAATTCGCACTAGTTATCCATCGGCCTTCGACAGACCTTTAGCCGATCCTGAACCCACTCCCTTTTGCTCAATGGGGGTTGGATATTCTAGGTCTATTTCCAGAGGCTCCTTATCTGAAAAAGTGGCTGATAGTCGGAATCGACTACTTCAGCAAATGGATAGAAGCCGAAGCAGCCTCAAACAAAACTGAGCAGACTGTTAGGAAATTTATTTGGCAGAATATCATCACTCGCTTCGGCATTCCAAAAGTGTTTGTCTTCGATCATGGGAGGCAATTCGATAAGCTACCGCTGAGGCGGTACACAGATCAGTTCGACATAAAGCTGGCTTATTCGGCAGTTTGTCATCCTCAAAGTAATGGCCAGGCTGAAGCTGCAAATAAGCAAATACTCAACGCTCTCAAGAATAGAGTTGAAGATCAAAAGTCCAAGTGGATAGAGGAACTTTCCGGAACTCTATGGTCACTTCGGACAACCAAAAAAGAGGCTACGGGGCATTCACCTTTTGAATTGGTGTATGGATCCGAAGCTGTTTTACCAGTGGAAATTGGCTCATAAAGTCTTCGAGTCAATCAGTTCTCAGCCGAAGAAAATGAGCTTCTCATGAAAGAGTCCCTTGATTTTTTAGACGAGATCCGAGATTCGGCAAGGGACAGAATGCCAGCATACAAACAGAGAATCAACAAGTTCTACAACCGAAGAGTTCAGTCAAGACTCCTTAAGGTGGGGGAACTTGTTCTTCGAAATGCTGCCGTTGTCCAGAAAAGCCGCATCCATGGAAAACTCTCGACTAACTAAGAAGGACCTTATGAAATCTATGATGAGCTCCAACCAGGAACTTATCAGCTTCGGCAGTTAGATGGCACTGAGTTGAAAAACCACTGGAATGCAGATGTACTTAGGAAATTTCACGTGTAAAACCCCAATGCGGGAGAAAAATCTGTGTAAGTACATTATCTTTAGATCAATAAAAGGCCTTTGAGCCGCAATTATTCATAATTTTATTATTATGCTTTCATTATTTCTGTCCTCGTCATTTTTGAAAAATTCAAGGTTTACACCCGGTGCTGTCCGAAGTATTGCATAATGATGCACTATACTTCGGCAAGCCGAAGAACCTGCCAATATGGGGTAACAAATAGAACCTCGGGGTATTGCATAATGATGCACTGTACCTCGGACGGATTTGTTACCCTCGGCGAGGAGGTCATAGGCTCATTTAAGACATAGCCGAAAATAGGAATTGATAAAACGCCCGAACCATCGCATAATGATGCTTTGTGCTTCGGCAAGTCAATTCCGGGTGGCGATTACACCTCTAAAGTATTGCATAATGATGCCTTCTACTTCAGATGATCGTTGCCCTGGCACTGTTTCCAAGATAGTCGTTTCCTCGGATGAATTTAAACCAGGCAGAATATAAGAAATAAACACAAGTGTTTGAACTATTGCGTGGCAACAAACCTTCGGCAACGCCCAAAAGATCAAGGGCAATAAAACTCAGAACTCTGAAGACCTCATCTTAAAAGTTATGCGGGGGGAGGGGGGGGGGCAGGAGGTACTCACATACCGAGCTCCAAGCCGAAGCCCAGTATTTTGGAAGTTCCAAGCCAAATTAGAGTAAAATGGGCAAGGTATAAAGAAGTAAGAGGAATTCTCAGCTAAAAATTTCCAGGCCAAAGCTCTGTACTTAGCTAAATTTTGAAGAAATTTAAGAAAAAGCAATTAAGTTCAAAGCTATAAAAACAGGCAAATTGAGAGGGAAAAGCTGAGATTCTATCTCGCCAATTCAGAAAAACTAGAACTACAAATACCAAGTTCAAATTCAGAATAAAAAAGTCAAAGTCGGCAGCCGCCCACATAGCGGAAAACACAACTGCCGAAAGTACACAAAAACAAATTTCAATGTTTGTACAAGGCAGGCTGAAATAAAATAGAACAGGCAAAAGATGATGCGGCGTTTACAGATTAAGCGCATGTTGATCCGCATGACTCAGTAGATGACTGCCCGAATTCCTATGCTTCAGCATTCTTGGGAACATCATTCGGGGCAGCTAGAGCCTTAGCATCGGCTAACGGGGAAGCAGGACGGGTGGCATTCAGCTCTTTCTCGGCTTCTTTCTCTCTTTCTTCATTCTCAGCTTGCTGAGCTTAGAACACAACCTCAGCTGGACTGGCCTCGTGCATGTGAGCATCTGCTGGATCCATGGACCAGGCCTCAGCCTGATCCCAATTGATTCTGGGCTCAAGATGGAAGGCCAGTCGCCGAGCAACCTTCCAACCATTTTCATATCCTTCTTCATACTCGGCCTCAGTGTAGATCCTGGTCTTCAGCAGTTCCTCAGCAGCGGCGAGATAAGACGAGGCCTTGGAGGATGCCTCCAGTGC